AGTTTATATTCCTAATAATAGAGAAGGATTCCTTTTCCCTCACAGCCTCACTAACATGTATTATTTTTTGGTTATTCGATCATAGCCATTCTTAACAAGAATCTCAGTTCTGTATGGATTTGGGTTTCTCTAATGGCAAAAGATACTAAATATTTTTTCATGACTTACTAGCCATTTGTACTTTTTTGGAGATGTCTTTCCATTTCATTCCAGTTGTCCATTTTTTATGGGGTCTTTTTGGAGGGCTCTAAATATTTGAATTCTTTATACGTTAGTACTAACAAGTAGCTGAATTAGTACTAAAGAGTAGCTAGCAAAAACTTTTCCCCATTCTGTAGGTTTGCACTTCACTATTGTGATTGTTTCCTTTGATGTACAGAGCTTTTACACTTGATTTAATCCCATCTATTGATTCTTGATATTATTTCTTGTGCAGTTGGGGTTATGTTCAGAAAGTCCTTGTCTATACTTATGTCTTCTGTCAAGAACTACCCGTTTTATCTTCTAGCAGTTTCAGCACTTGTTTTTATATCTAGGTTTTTGACTTATTTTGATTTGATTTTAGAGCAGGGTGAGAAATACAGGTCTGGATTCATTCTTCTGCACGTGAAAAACCAGTTTCCCCAGCAATATGTGTAAAAGAGGCCATCTTTTCTCTGACATATGTTCTCGGCTCCAGTATCTTTTTCTTTACCTCTGATCACAACTGCTACACATTTCTACAACCCCTATCCCATGGATTGCTCAATGCCTGGCTCCAGGTCTCTATCCAGGATTACGCATTTGTTTCTTTCTATCTCTAGAGCTCACAGTCCTTAATTCAGCATTGTCCTCTGGGTGATTCTCTTGCCTATGCCTTCGGTCCGGTCCCTCAATCTGAGGAAGCCCTCTCTTGCAAATACCTCACCCATTGAGCTCTGTCTCCCAATGGGAAGAGAGCTAGCACAGGTGTGCACTGGGTGTGTGATGCAGCAGCCTAGCCAACACTGCTGTATTTAGCTTCTTCCTCAAGAGCTTAGATCCTTTCATATAATGACATGTTCACTGCACCTGGGCTGTAGCAGTGCTTGGATCAAGAGGTGGCCCTACTTCTTTTCCTAAACAGCCCCATTACTGGAATTCATCTGGTAGGCTTCTTCAAATTGCCATCCTATATTTGGGCTTTTGTTTGTGCCCCATTTTCAAATACCATTGGATCCTGGTATCTTGTGAGTGCTGCTGCCTCTAGTCTGCCATGATGTTTCTTTCCTCTTTTAAACATTTTAAATGAATAAGGAATGGATTGAACTTTATTTTCTGTACCCTTGGTATAATCTAAGGAAGACAAATGAAGACATTGTCCCCCCCGAGTCTAATGGAATGATCCAGTTAACTAAGCCTGTACTAATAATATTTGCTAGTAGCTGCTATGATAACACTTGAACAGGGGGCAATGAGAACAGTAATAATGGGACAAAAACAGTTACATGGTAGTAAGAAAGGGGGACAGGAGTGAACATCTCAGTGGAGATTTAGAACAAAGAACAAAATCTAGTGAACTGTATGTGCCATTTATTGAGCACTTGCTATGTATGGGAACAATACTAAAGTGAGAACTTCATGTTTATTATTTCATTTTAACAAAATCACCATGCAGTAGATGCTATCACTCTTCACATTTTATAGGTAAGATCATGTAAGTAGACAAGCTAAATAATTCATCTCTATAACTATAAAGTACTTGAGCTGAGTCTGAAACCAGGATCTGGCTCTTAACTGCTATACACTCTGTTCACTTAGGGAAGGATACAGACCTCTGTAGGCTGGGAAACAGCTAGTGGTAAGGCATGGAGATGAGTATGCATAGCGTTGCAAGAAAGTCATTATGATTGGACCTAAGTTGAAAGTGAGAAAGGATAGGAAGTGTGGGTGGAAAGGATCTTGAAGGACCTCAAGTGCATGCTAATGCAGTTAGAATTTAGCCTAAGGAGACACTGGGGAAGAGTGTTGCTAAAACATATCAGGCAAAGGAGTACACATTTCCACTTAGGACAGTTATTGTGGGAACTATGGAAAATTCACCAGGGCCAGGATGGAGAAACATTGAAGATAGAAGTTGGGAACTAGTTAGGAGGTTATGATTGTTGTTCAAAAGAGAAAGGATAAATGTCTAATTCATTCATTCAATACATATTGGCTTTAGGAACTATTAAATAGGTTGAACCTACCAAGAATTCCCCATGACTAAGGAAAGGGAAGAATACAGCGTTATTCCTAGGCCCTAGTCTGGGTGACTGGTAGATAATACAAAATACATTATGAAGGTAAAGATTTGAAAAGAGGGTAGGGAAGGGTGCGGGTGCGTAGGTTTTTAGAAATGTTGACTTCAAAGTTATATTAGTACTTCCAATTGGAAATGCACAACAGATAGTTGATTGTCTAAGGCTTGAAGTTTAGAAGAAATGTGAGCCTTGTTTAGTAAAGGAAAAAGCACACAGGCAGTTACAACTGTGGGAGAGAAGACTGCTTGGTCAAGGAGGTGCTGATGATAAAGCCCTTAGGACATTCCCATTAGTGGGAGCCAAGGAGTAGACTTCAAGAAAACAAGCTAGGAGAGGTAGACAAAGAAGGAGGAAATTCCTCATCAAGAGCAACCATAGAGGCCAATGAACAAGAGCAAGACTTGATGAAGAGCTGTAGAGATGTTAGGACAGAAAGGAAACCATGCACACTGGTGTTTTACAAGGCATCATTGGTGATTAAGATGAGAGCTGGAGTGGTGAAGTAATAGGGGAAACAGATGGAGGCCAGGTGGTGAAGATTTAAGGAGTGAGTGCATTGCTGTTGAAGAAATGCACATAGACTATTCCCTTAGCATGCACAAAAAGAGCCTAGCATGTGGAATTTTTAAGGTTGATGAATACTCAAGAATTTTTAAAGAATTTTTTAACTGCCTCACAAATGGAATAATGGGGTTTTGAGAATGATAATTCATTTGCAGAAGTCCTTAAGATAGATGGATCAGCAGAAGAAATAAAAACTAGTACTCAGGTGAAGGGATTCAGTTTTGAAAAAGAAGGAAGTGGGAGGAACAGAGGTGTGGATAGTCAGATTGCAGGTAAATTTGTAGGTGGGAAATTTTAAAGTGTCTGCCTCCTCTGAAGGACTCTAAGTAGGGAGAGAGTGCTGTTTTGGAGGATGTAGGATAACCAGCAAAGAAAGAGAGGTTCAAGAGTTGTTAAAAGGAGAGAAAATTTATATCAAACTTATGGAAATATAAAACATTAGCTAGACATTGTGGCACATGCCTATTATCCAAGTGTTCTGGAGGTTAAGGCAGGTAGATTGCAAATTCAAACCCAGTCTGGAAAACTTAGCAACTGAGGGAGACTTTCTCAAAAAAAAAATAAAAAAAAATAGAAAAATGGGGTTAGGAGGTAGTTCAGTGGGGAAGCCTTGGGTTCAGTCCCCAGTACCACAGAAGAAGAAAGGAAAGGTTTAAGGGCCCACTCTGAAAAAAAATCTTCTGCTGCCTTATTAGTGACATAAATGTTTTTAGGAATCTTAAAGACTGATTACTCTTCTGCCCATCCAAAGCACTTTGTTCATACACAAAGAATGATACTTACGACCTTGTACTATATGAGCTATATTCCTTTTCTATGTAGGAAAGTTTCTCCTAAAGATAATTCCTACTTTTTTTCATCATTGCATCCCCTCATCCTATCAAATGTTTCCTATTAGGTCTCCGTGCATGTTGACTGCTTGTTTAAAATTTCTTAGCTGGGCCAAGCATGGTAGTGCATGTCTATAATCCCAGCACTTGAGAGGCAGGAGGATCTCCATCAGTTTGAGGCCAGCCTGGGCTGCACAGGAATTGAAGGGCCAATCTGAACTTCATATCAAGACCCTGTCTCAAAACAAACAAACAAAAAATCTGAGCTGGACTTGTGTGCCTTGACTCCAATGATTAGGCTTCCTCTGCAACTGCTCTACATGGCTGTTGTTGGGCTGTGGTCTGAGACAGTTTCATTGGTGGTCTGTGTTTATAGAAATCATAAGGTCCAATTAGTAAAGGAGCTGGGAGACCATGTCCCTCCACCCACTTGAGTTTGGGCAACATCCCAGGGCCAATCTTCTTGGCATCATTACAAGTAACTTAATCAGAGTGAACTCTGAACATCCATGCTTGTTGGAAGCCCTTGACACTGGACGACTCAGCACTTTATAAATCATTCCTGTCAGTCCTACCTAGAGACCCAACAAGAGGCACCCAAGCTGGGGTGCACCTCTTCAGAAATCTGAAAGTCTGATATATTGGTATGCTTTTTGCTTTTCCTGTCATCCCAGCACCATTTTTCTGTTTGTGCTCTGTTTTTCCCATGAGCATTTCTCATGATCTTCAATAAATGTAGCTGCTCTTCTTTCACTATCTGATGTATGCTTACACTTCTTTGCTCACCATACAAAAGATCCTGGAATCTCTCTGGTGGAGCCATCCCACAGTATCACAATGCTGTTGGCATATAATATAAAAATGTTTTCCTGTTCTATCTGTAACTCTGACATCACTCTTGGTTAAATTTATCTACTAAGCAATTTACACTGCTATGTCTTATTTATTAAGAATTTTGTTATTCATGTTACTCATCTATTTCCCTTTATTTGCTCTATATTTTCCATCTTTTCTTCACTTTGCTGTTTCAACAGAAGGCACTAGGCTAAAGAGAAAAATACCAGATCACATCATTTTACTACATGGTAATTTCTGTACATTTTTATAGAGGGTGAGGTTATCCTTTACATCTGGGATATTTTGGACTACCCTTATTTATTAATTATTAGAGTAAAGTTTATTCACATCATAGATTACGCAGATTAATTTTACATTTTAGTGGCAGCATTTATCTATGTAAATTACTTAAGTTATGAAGTGTTTTACTAAGAGAAATAAAGCAGTAAAATTAGTGTTTTTTGTATTCTTTAGAAAATTTATTTTATAAATAAAAGTTGTAAAATAATGGAGTGTTTTGTACACACTTCTTTCATACCTAGAGCTTTCTCAAAAAGTTTGACAGGATAACTGAACTCTTTACTTTTATCATTTACTAAAGAAAAAATGTTAAAATCACTTATGCACGTATTGTTTTTAAATGACTCATACAAATATAAAGTGGACAAATTTAAAATTTTTTTCTTAACTCATTAATTTAAGAGCAAGCCAAGCTGAAGACAGAAGCCAATTAAAGGAGAATTGGAAGAGAGTATGCATTTATAGGCATGCAAAATGTTGAAATTAATTTACTTATAGAGGCAAAATTGGTCAGTTTACTCAAGTCAGTGGAACATGATTTTTTAATCCTCTCTTTTAGCAAGTTGAAATCAGTAGCAAAACAAAATTTGTATCTACTTGGAGACCATTCGTCTGCTTTACTAACAATTATGGGCAACTTACAAAGTTGAAAGATAACCCAATCACTGTCACTGGAAGGCACAAGTCCCTACAGAATCAGATAATTCCAAAGCATCTGTTAGACAATGCTCAGCACTCTATTGAGAAAATACCAAAATTCATCAAAAATTTTCACCCCATTTTCTGACACCTGCCTTCCTTTCTAATTCCAATGCCATCGTCCCTTTGTTTTCTCCCTGTTTGCTATAGTTTCTCCCCTCAGTGCTTCTCTCTCTGGGGAAATAATTCAAAGCTCCAAGGATTTAAAGAATGCAATTTACAGCCCAAGTTTTGCCTGGGGCTTCCTAATATTAGGCTATCTAGAAAGGTAGAGATCTGGAAAGAGGTGAGGTATAAATGTCTAAAAGCCTGATTCAGGTGGAAAATTACCAGAAGTATAACCACTTGAACAAATTAGATAGGGTCCAGTTTATTATGCTAAAATACCACATTGTCTCATTTTCATAATATTGCCCTATCATATTATAACATAGTGTTATTTAGGGAATATTTGCCTATATATTTTTTCCTTTGATGCTCACCACAGTGTTATGAAGTGATCCACACTGAAGTCGTCTCATGTTTTGATCCACTTACATATACAGGAAACAAAGCATAGGGAAGTTAGTTGCTTAAGATTGAGTACTAAAAAGTATTCACTTTTTTTCTTTTACTGTTTTCCAGGTCATGTTCACTGTACACCATTGCATTAAATTATTCAATTCAGTGCATGTTTATTTAATAATAATTATTTCTTAGGTTAATAACATCCTATGCCCCTTATTTTTTATTACAGTTTATATATAGGGAAGAAATACTAAGAATGAACTATTGTCAAAGTTTATATTTTTTTATACTTGTTTAGTGCTTTGATTTTTGAAGGATAAGTCAACTAACTACTGAAGTAAAAGAGTTGATAAATGACCAAAGAATACAGAAGATAACTGCAGTTCCTTCACAGTGCCATCTGTTTTAGTTGAATAATGAGTGTTTGTGTCCATGGATAGTATGAATTCTTAGGCACACATAATACGGAAATCATATATGGGTTGGTTCCTGAGCCTGCTGACAACCATGACCATTGTCAACCCTTTTCTTCAGGGTCCTCTCAAGAGCACTGTAAGTGCTTCCACAATGTGCCTTACCAGCTGGACGTTCTTGCGCAATTGTAAAGAAATCATGAGTTGGCAATATGTATCTATTTTGGTGTTATAAGCCCTGAGCTTTGAATGGCAGTGGCCAACAGCCATTAATTAGTATTATTAGTGCTCCTCCTTTGATGCTCGGAGCAGATAGTGACTGGCAGGCCTTGGAACTCTTTCAGCTGCCAAGAGCCACTCTTTGTGGCTCCTAACAATTCTCCATTGCTCTTCACCATACTTTGTTAGTAGCAGTTGTCAGTGTTATCCTCCCTAACCGCTGATGGCTTTCATGCCGGCAAATTATTATCAGCTCTGGCTGTTGATTGTTTTCAAAGCCAGCAGCCTTTGGTGTTATCAGCTCTTACTATACCAGCTCACTACACTGTACTCAATATAGAAACATGAATAGGCAAGAATATACCATCTGGAAAGGCTTTATTAAGACTTGTTGCTATAGCATAAATAGGAATAGTGCACAGGCTGGACCCTCAAAGGGTATGGAGAGGTTGCTTTTAAAGGAAAAAAAGAGGGTTGTGAATCATCAGAATCATCCAGAGAGGCTACAGAGTGGAATCATCTAGGATATGGTCCGAAGCCTGCTGCTGTCAATGCCAGTGTCTACAAGGGCCCAGAACAGCCCCAGAATAAAAGTACCTTTGGGAGAGTGTTGGGTCTTTCTCTTTTGTCTCATTTAATCTACTCACTCTTGTACAAAGCAGCTACTCATACTTTATGCTATTGCAAAGAGTTGATGGAACATACCCTAGTTGTTAGCAGTATCTGCTTTTAGTTTCAGTGTATTTCTTGGCTTTTTCAATGGTTTATTGTTACTTGGAGGAAGGGATTCCTGTAATATGCATCTGGAAATGGTTCTGTAGCTTCAAGGAAGTGTGGGGTAAGATGATATCATTTAATTGTATATGATCCTTTGTAAGAGTTGCATACAATATGTCTACTGCTGTCTATATTTAGCTGTGGAAAATTAGCCACAGAGAATGTATTTTTCTCATTTGTATTCTAAGACCTTTCAGGAGAGTGGAAAGATATGATTTGATTCAATCTCACTTAGTTTGTATATTAAAATATAGTAGAACTGGCCACTTCTTATTTTTTTGCCACTTCTTTGGAAATGCAATATAAAGGTAAAAATAAATTTCATATGAGTTTAGCAAGTTCTGTTTAGAAGTATACAGAAACTGAGACTGAATATTAGTTTTGATTTTCTGTTCAAAATTTTCCTTTGGTAAGACATAGTTATTTTCTCATTGTTGGGACAAAATACCCAACACCCATAAATTAAAGAAAGAAGTATTTATTTTGGCTCAGTTTATAGAGGAAGTCAGTCCATGATTGGCTGGCTCCAAGGTGGTGTGGCAAAGGAGACCAGTTTATGGGGGCAGGCAGGAAGCAGGAGGCATTAAGAGAGGATAAGAGATACATACCCTCCAGGCCACCCCACAGTCTTCCCACCAGCATCACATCTAGCTGTCAGCCTATCAGTGGATTAATCCAGTATCACACACCCATGATCCAGTCACCTCTCCCAAGCCCCACCTATGAGGGCATGAGGCTTTGGGGGACATCTAGATATAAACTATAACAAAATACACCAGTAGGAAGAAATGATTACTTCATAATTTTTAAAGCTAGATACGATATACACATGTTCCAGTACAACTGCTGAATTCATTCCCAACATGCATGGTAATGTATTCTTTTATTGCTGCAAATGAATAAAAAGGTCCTATTGTCTATCAGATGTGTAAGTTAATATTTAAAAACTCAATTTTATTTTTCACCTTCTAGTGTTGCTCGTTGCTTTACTGTTTATAAGTAAATAATTGAACTATTTCTCTTCTTTTGTTTTTGGAGAAAGGGCTCCTGTGTATCCTAGGTTGGCCTTGAGCTCATGGTGAACCGCCTGCCTCAGCTTCCTGAGTGTTGGGATTGCAGGAGTTTGCCAACACATTAGGCCTTGAATCATTGCTCTTCAATAAACTATTTTTCTTTTTCTTTTCCAGGTTCAGCTCAGCTACTATTCAAAAACATCAAATCTGTAAATTACAGCAATTGCAATGCAACTGTCACCATCCCATGCTACGTTGATAACACAGTCAGATGACACTAGGGAGTTTTTTGTAAAATGGAAATTTAATGAAAACGTTATTTTCAACTTTGATGGACCTAGAAACAAATCCACTCTAGGCAGTGGTTTTTCAAGTGCAAAAATCAATATCCCGGAATTACTAAAAGGAAGTGGCTCTTTGCACATGGATAAGGATGATGCTAAATTAGGAAACTACACATGTGAAGTAACAGAATTAAGTAGAGAAGGAGAAACAGTGGTAGAACTAAAATACCATTCTGGTTAGTGCTTTGATTTGAATATAGTCTCTCCCACTGGAACTCATATTGAAACCTGATTGCCATTATGAAAATGGAGACTTTTAAAAGTCATTTGCTCATTTAGATAGATTAATGCCTATTTTGAGGAAGTGGGTTAATTCTCAAAGGAATGGTTTAGCTGGATTGGATTGCTATAAAGAAAGTTCACCCCTTATGTTCTTTCTTTCTCACACATGCTCATCTCCTCTTCAGCTCACTGCTATATTGTGAAGCAGCATAAGCCCTCCCAAGGAGCTATGTAGAGGCTGGTGCTGTGCTATTGGACATCTTAGCTTCCAGAACCATGAATCAAATAAACCTCTACTTTTTATAAATAACCAAGTCTGGGGTATTCAGTTATAGTAACAGAAAACAGACTAAGACAATAAGACTTCTACAAAAGTTCCCTGTTTATTTGTCCTGCTATAAGTGATCATTTAAAGGGAAGCAAAATGGGACTTTTTATTTTTGAAATAAAAAGCAGCTAGTAATAATAAATACTGATGCAATGTTTAGAGATGTTCGGTATTCCTCTACTTGCCACAGTAAAATGCATTTACTGTTTTTTTTTCTATTTGTATACTGTGGGGTTCTCAAAGTTTTGGCCTAAGGACTGTGCTGTTTAGGGTGATTGTTCTTAGAGTCCTTACTCTGCATTTGTTTACTGCTACCAAAAGTACTTTCTTTAATTTTTGAGCCTCTTTCCCATTCTTTAGCCTTGTTTAGTGTAGTGCTTCACCTTTTCAGTGTTCAACAAAATGCAGCCACGCTCCCTCAGCAAAGAAAGAGGAAGAGAATCAAGAGTTTAAAGATCAGGTTATCATGGGTAATTCCTAGAGTGTTTTTGTGCTTAGCCTTGCTTTAGAGTTGTTTTTCTTGACCGAAACATGAGGGAACTTGGGAACCAACTTAACTGAATTGACTTCAGCTTTGTTTATAGTACCATGACTCTGCCTTCTCTTACAAACTTGGGTTGGTGAGTTATGTAAAGCAGTTAACTCAAGTAAAGAATTTCTGTTTTTATTGCTTATGTACTAGTGGATTTCTTTAAGCATATTTAAGTACATTCTGACTTTCTACTTGAAAGCTTGTATTTACAATAAAAGAAAATCTATATGTGCAAAATGCCCTACAGGTACATGAAAACAATTTTAACATCACTAGCCATCACTGAAATAAAAACAGAGCTCCACCAAAATATTACTGTGCTCCAGTTAGAATGCCTATTATCAGAGAGACAAAACAAAATGCTACACAGAGTGTAACCCTTACACATTCATGGTAGGAATATAAATTAGTATAGCTGTTATGGAAAAGAGTATGGAGGTTCCTAAAAAAAATTAAAGTAATTCTACACTGTGATCCAGCAACCACTCTACTGAGTTTATAGCCAAAGGACAGGAAATGAGTATGTTGAAGAGACATCAGCACTCTTATGTTCATTGCAGCACTATTCACAACAGCCAAGATGTGGAACCAACCTCAGTGTCATCAGTTGATGAATGAATGAGAAATTCAAAATATAAATACAGAGCAGTGTAAGAAATATAATAGGAGATAGGGAGATACTGTAGGTCTTTTGCTAAAGGGAAGGGGACCAGGAGATGGAGGGAGCAGAAGGGAAGGGGTTGAAAAAAGAATTAAGATGTGTCATGTATGTGTAGTAACTTCCCATGAGTAATGTAATCATTATGTATGACACACATGTACGAATAGAAAAAAGAAAAAATTAGGAAAAATAAAAGAATATTACAACAGAAAAAAGGAAAATGGTCTTCATATCCAATGGAATACTAGTCAGTCATGTGAAAGGGATAAGATGTAGTGATTTGCAACATGGATGGAATTAGTGGCCATTATGTTAAGTGAAATAAGCCAAGAGTAGAAAGACAGATATTGTAAGATTTCACTCTTTTGTGGAATCTAAAATAGAAGATGAAAGTAAAATAATTGTTATCAGAAGCTGGGGAGACTACAAGTCTATAGGAAAGGTCGATCAATTGGTACCAAGCTATAAATTTTGAAGGGGAAATAAGTTCTGAAATTTTATTCCACAATTGAACTGTAAATAATTCACTGATGAGTACTATACCCCATAATCCAGTCACCTCAAAAGCCCTACCTATGAGCACATGAGGCTTTGGGGCAGCATCAGTATATAAAGCATAACAGGAATCTTCAACTTTAAAAAGTTTCTACTATATAGAGGGCATTACATTCTAAAAAACTAGGATGTCCACAATAGAATTTATGTGGTGGTTGAATTCTAGGGATCAATTTAAACATTTTACCAATGTTTAACATTATAAGCTTAATGGAAGCAGCAAATGGCTATCATTATGAAGTGAAAGCTGATGAAGACCCTCACAGGCTGATACAGAGGAACAGAGTATTGGAGGATTCTGATGTTGGTTTCAGAGGAATTCCAGTACTTGCCTGTGGTAGTATTCACAAGCATTCTTCAGAGTGTCTATCCATTTTCTGCCACCTTTCTTCAAGCAAACTTGAATATTTTCAGTGCAATTCCTTGGCTTTATTGTTAGAGAAAAAGCTTCATACCTAAAATCATGGTCTTCAGGGTTTATAAAATACAATTAAACAAATTTAATTAAAATGCAATTAAACAGTATTAGAAATTCTCAACAAAATCTTATTTGAAGTCCTAATATCTCAATTACCTTTACAAGGGATATATTTTCACCATATAAGTAACCTATTACCCACTTAATAAGGGCTGCCTCAGTAAAGCACCTCAGGTTTACATGTAAATGATCCTTTTTGAAGTCTTAACTAGTCAAGAATAAATCTTGTAGTCCAGAGTCAGTTTGAGAAAAGGCAGGGCACGTGTGTCTTTGTCTCACACACAGTCAGGGGAAGGGACATAATGGTACAAAGAGCTCCCTCACTTAGGTTCCCTGAGTCATCATTATCTGAAGGTAACTTCTAGGCACTTTACACTTAGAGGCATCCAACATACAAACACAATAATAATTGTAGCACTGAGTAATTGTTAACCTTTGCATTAAGCCCTTTGCATATATTAAGTTTGTTAATAGTCACAACAGGGCCGGGGATTTAGCTCAGTGGTTCTGGTGCCTGCCTCGCAAGCGCAAGGTCCCGAGTTCAATCCCCAGTACACACCAAAAAAGAAAAAATAAACAGTCACAATCCTTTGAGGGGCAGGTCCTGGGTTATACCTGTGTAACAATTGAGGATACTGAAAAGCAAAGGTGTTTAGATATTGTGCAAGGCTGTGAGGGTTGGTAGGGCTGGGTTTCAAATCCAGATAGTGTGGCTGCAGAGCTCTGCTCTCAGCTGCTGTGCTCTGCTGGCTTCTTCCTTGTGAAAGACAAAATATGAGAGAAAAGTGGTGAGAAACACTTAAGTAACTGTAGCTTCTTGTTTCCTAAATGGAATGTGTTATACAAGTGAAATATACATATACATATACATATATATGTGTGTGTATATATATATATATAAATTTGGTTTATATTTGTGTGTGTATATAAATTAAAGCCATGGCTTTAATTATTTTTATTCATATGCATAATAAAAAGATACGTTTTAGACCATTAGTAGGATTTAAAGAGACTAATACCCATTGTGATTTTTCCTTTCTTTATTCTTAGTTTCATGGTTTTCTTCAAATGAATGTACTCTCATTGTTACTTTCCCAATTGTGACTGTATTTCTGTTCTGGGGACAGCTTTGTTTTATAAGTAAGTATTTATTTCCATTTTTCATATATATTTTAGTGATACAATTGTTATATAGAAGAACAGAGCAATACTACTAGAAGTTTTTAAGTTGTAGTAGGGTCATTGTGACTAATAAAAATATACAGTGAAAATATTAATAGTCTTCTTGAAGAATATATAATCCCTATATTTTGCTATAATTCATGTAACCAAACCTCAGAGGGGAAATCTTGATGCTGTATCAGACTTACCATCAATAGTACAGAACTGTCTTTACAAGGTAAATAGGTGATATGCATTGTGGTCAGTGTTTATACTCAACCACATTTACATACCAGTTTGGTGAAAGAAACTTACTAAACTAGTTAAATTCAGTTGTTTCATTCTAAACTTTTAAAATATAAGATTTATTCTTGCTTTCCCTATAATACCCTGAAATAGTTATTGAAGCCCAGTAAACATCTGTACAGGCAATATAATGCTGAATTAATTTATTGTGCAACCTTTAGAAAAATGAAAGCTGGTCAAATATTGAAGTAGAACAGCCTGTTGTCTATTTCATGAATTTCACTTTTCCTCAGAAGTTTAAGCTGTGTGTATGCTTAGTAAAAATGGAAGAGAGGTTATGGGTTATATATTTTAAGAACCTTTCCCAATGTAAAGCACTGAAAAATGCTTAGGGAATTCAGAGATGTTCTCAACTTGTGTCTATAGGGAAAAAAGAGACAACAAAAGGCTGACAGTGGCAACTGTCAACACATTTCACAACTCTTACCTACAAGTTAGTGTCTAGGCTTCTTTTAGAAATTACCTTAGAATTTCAGTAAGTCTTTTATTTCAGGAGAAGGAACGTTACAGCATCAGGACCTATTCTATCATCCCTGATGTTAGGAAAAGCATTAACCATTTTGGCACACCCAAGCCTTAAGGGTTAAGTTGTGTGATTTGGGCAGGAAATGGCCTTTTTTAAGATCATAAAATTATTTCACATTTGTTAAATTTGGATTAATAGAAGTTTGCTGATTGTGCCATTGTCATTAGTGAAATATTTTTGAGTGGAATGAAGCAGGAGTGAATCTGTTCCCTGTCAGTATTTTTACAAGATAAGCTTTGGAATTTTTTTTCTGAATTAAAAAAATAACAGAGTTGGCTCTCAGGCTACATGGCAAAAATCTATGGATGCTGGAGTCTCTTACATAAATTGTACAGTGTTTAGGTATAACCTATGCACACCTTCCTGTATAGTTTGAATCATCTCTAGGTTATAGTAACTCATATAAGGCAAATGGTATGCAAATAGTTATACTGTTTAGGAAATGATAACAAAATTAGAGTCTGCACATGTTCAGTATATAACTTTTAACATTTTTTTTCTCAGTGGATCGAATCTGTTGATACAGAAATCATAGATGCAGAAGGCCGGCTGTGTAGAACCATTTTTGGGCTCAACTGGGTGCTGACCACGGGGCCCATCACACTGAACCACACCCTGCCTTTCTTTTTAATGTTGAGATAGGGCCTTGTTAAGTCTCTGTGTAGCCTAGGCTAGGTTCAAAGTTGCAGTCCTTCTTCAGCCTCCCAGAGGACTACAAGTGTGCACTACCTACTCAGTTCATAACATTTAAAAACCCTGTACAATATAGGTAATTATAGAAAAAATGCCTGCAGTCCTAAGATTTAGAAATATGCTATTGTGTATTCTAGTGAATTTGCTGCTTCCTTTTCTTTATTTTTTATCTTCCTTTAAAAAAAAGAAACGGTGTTCTCATGCAGCTTATATACTTGTACATCCTGATTTATTTTTCCCATGTCTTCAGAAATTTTGATTTGACTACCTATGTTCTACTTCTATAAATGTGCTGTAATTTATGGAACTTTCATCATGATCAATGTTAAGGTTGATTCCAATTGTTCTGATACTATGAAAGTAACTCTGCTAATGGTATGTGAGCCTAGAAATGCAGAGATGTTGTAAGGCACTAGATATGCATTCCAAAGTGTTCCAGGATCTTTGTGTCAGGTACTACTGCAAAAGAGAATACCTGTTTTGTACCTCACACTGACATTGTTATAATTCTGAAATCTTTCATAGTTTGTACATGTTTTGATTTTATTTATGGGTTAGTGAGAATGAATGCTCATTTTTGTGCTTTCTGTCTCAGTCATTTTTTAAAGAATGTGTTTATGACCTAAAGAACATTAAGGAATGTGTTTATGAACCATGTTTTAAGGAATGAGTTTATGAAATATTTTGGTGGAATTTTTATTTTGGCTCATCTTAAACAAGTAAATATGTGTGTGTGTGTGTGTGTGTGTGTGTGTGTGAGGAAGAGGAGTCACCCAGCCTGGCCTCACATTTAAAGGTATTGATAATAATGGTAGCTAAATACTCATGGAGCCCTTGCTCTGTAGGACAGGCACTGTGCAAAGTACTCTACATCTCAGATCACATGTATCTCTCCCAGGAAGTCTAGGTGCAGGCAGTGTTGTTATTTCCATTTTGTAAATAAGTAGTTTAGGCAATTTGCCTGTAGTCACCCCTGTTTCTTGGCAGTCTTGAGATTTGAACAGTGCTGTTTACCACTACACTGTACTGTCCCCCATCTTGAATTCATTTTGAGAATTTTCTAATTTTAATTTTTTTCTACTTCTTTTCCATCCCTTGGTTAATTGTCATTCTCCTTTCTAAGTTTGGACCAGCTTCCAAATGTTTTACTTTGTACTGTTAATGTCATAAAATCTCTCTGAAAATTCCTTTAAATGTTTTGTTTTGTTGTTGTGGTTGTTACTGTTGGCTTTATTTATTTTGTTTTGCTTTGCCAGAGTGACTTCCTCTGGAACATCTCATTCTTTTTCTCACATCATCCTCACTGTCCTCATTTGTGCCGATGAGTTCACCTTTACTGCTTCCTTGGCTGTACCTTGAGGAGCACCATGTGGCAGTGTGTCAGGTCCCCAGTCAGCCGCTGCTTCTGCCACTCCACTGTAGTCTCTTCACATTTCACATTCTGCATTCTCACTTTTCACTTCTCTGCTCCTTTATCTTTCTTGCCCAATTTCCTCTTTCCATAATCTATTATAATATGCCATGTGGTTTCGTCACTGAGAAACAAGGTGTAGCACAACTACATGCTTGGGTTTGTATGCTAACTGAATAACAAGACTTGCACTGGCCAGTCACCAGTGGTCTTCGAAAGAAGTGACATGACTGATCACTAATCATGATGCACATCTGCTATTTGTGTAGTGATTTGTGGGCCGAAGAGGCACTGGTGAAGTTTGTACTCTGTTCATCTATTGGTGTAGCTAAAATTTAAACTATTTTGGGGATTTGTGTCACTCAACTGAACCACACTCATGTGTATCAGAACCATAGGAAGTGAGGACTGCTATTAGTTTATTTCAAATTATGTATTCTGAGCATCATGCATTTCCTTTTCCGAGTTTCTTGTCCCTCAAGATTATTTCGAAAGGATATTGGTTAGCTTACAGGTATTTGGTAGATATTCATGTGGAAATCATTGTTGGAAATTCAATGGAAATAATTCTCTGACAAAACAGCCTTCAGGTCCTCTGAAGTCCTGAAGTACAGACTTGAGCCCTTGCTTAATAATGAAAATAATTTGGCCATGGAAGCACATTTAAAAGAAGTAATGGAGAAGGCAGTTTCTTCACTGGTTAGGAACATCTTTCCAAAGAAGTGAGGAAATTTACTAAATTGCACTGGAATCTTCTAGAAGGTCAAATATTTTTCCAATAAATATTATTACAAAGAATAATTCTGTGACCTGACTGATGGCCTCTAATAATAGGACTTTGTTATTAAGTTTAATGTGAATTCTATTTGATCATCTTAAACTTTCAGTGTTTTCCATTGGTCCTGTCTGCATAATGACCACATTCTGTTATAAAATCATGGGTTTAGCCCTGACTTTATTGCAAGGAGGTGTCTTAGTCACTTTCCTATTGCTAGATACGATATCTGACACTCACAACTTAAAGGAGTAGAAATTAATTTGGATTCAAAATTTTAGAAGTTTCAGTCCGCAGGTAGCCAGGCCCAACGCAGAAACCACATGGTGGAAAGACTCGGTGGAGGAGAGCTGCTCACACTCATGACATCCGGGAAGCAGGGAGAGAAGGGAGGAGCCAGAGAGGGAGATAAACCATTCCAGGCCATGGCCCCAATCATCCACCTTTTCCAACCAGGCCCCACTTCCTTACAGCACATTCACCTGAGAGTGTGATGTTTAGCAGGCATTCATTTTAACAACATTGTTTCATCAGAGTAAGTTGAGTGATGTCTGTAGTTTCATAAAGCCTATATTTGTGTGTGTGTTTTTGTTTTTGAGACAGGGTCTCACTATATAATCCAGGGCGGTCTTGGACTTACTTGGTAGCCCAGGCTGGCCTTGAACTGGCAGTGATCCTCCTGCCTCAGCCTTGTGAGTGCTGGGATTACAGGTGTGTGCCACCACGACTGGCTGTGTCTGTGTAATAAATGAATGTATTAAATATTTTAAAAATAATATTTTAAATAATTCAAAAAACTGGAAACTGAAAGTTGATTTAAAAAATTATCAGATGTACTTTATCCTACATTGAAAATATTTGTTTAGAGCTCAACAGCTACCCAAAGTATTCTAAATTATTTTCCTATAATCAAAAAACAGCATTGTATAATTAAATCACTTGTCTTTCTTTGTGATTTATTCTTAATCTGATATGTATTTCCTCTCACTGGTAAGGATACTTGTCTCTACTCAATCACTGACCACTTGCCTAGGGCCTATCCACATGTCATGTCTTGAAAAAATGTTGAATTCTTAGATTTTGTTAGATCTATGTGAGCATGAATTGGTGTGTCAAATCAGCCTTTAGAGTATCATGAAAACTTAATGTGGTAGATTTGATTTTATTCCCAAACTGACTTGATAATTTTACTAAGTTTTATCAGCTACAATCTGCACTCTGTCCTGTATGTACCCCATATCAGTCACAAAGAGACCAGAAAATCTTTTCATAACACAAGCACTTCTTTTCTAGAGGGACATGTCAGTGCTTCTTTCATATGGATTTGAAAGGTTTATTACATTAAAAAACCTTCCTTGGACTACAGGAGAACTATGTCTTATATTTAACTAGGGAAAGTCTGGGAATATCACCTCTCATCATCCACCCCTCAACCCAACACACACATTCACCCACTGGAATGTAAAGGCCTTGAGATGGGCCTTATGTCTGCATTATTTGTACATTGTCAAACACTTAGAATAGTCATTGTCACATGGGTTCATCGTGATCAATCAATCATTACTCAGTAATCATCTATCATGTAAAGGTACAAATTTCCAATGATGAATGTCATCCTATTGTATACCTAAAATGTACCAATAACCGTAATGAATACAAAAAATCATCTACTTATACCTTCATTTTCACTGACCTGATACATTGTAGGTAGAGAGTAAATATGTGTTGAATAAAGGGATGACCCAATCTAAAACATTTTTCTAAGAAATAGCCTGCTAGATTTTTTAAAATATATTTTTTATACTCTGAAATTATATTGAAATTAAACAGCATATTTTCTAAAATAAAAGAGAATTTTTACAATTCCTAGTTTGTTGATAAAAATGTCATATTGCCTCTCCTGATGTTTGGTATTCCCCTGCATTTTTTGTTAAAAAATGTAAATACTGTTATTTCTCATGTATCTTATTTTATGTATTGATTTCAATATTTAGCTGAGGGAAATCTTTAAAATCATGCAGATCCTTAAATCTGTATAGATTGTCTTGCTAAACAGAAAATCATACCAAGGAAGTTTGATAAAAGTCTGCTATTAAGAATACAGTATTTTTATCTTAATCCTAAGTATTTGGAGAATTACTTGTATTTTCTTTCTTTGTCATATGTAATTTTTTGATAAGTCTTATACATAAGGGTAAGCCCATTTAAAGGACAGGAAAAGATTATCAATAACAGGCCCCTGATATCATTGAGCTCTGTGGCATCTCAGTGTAGCTGAGAAAATTGACAGCTGGACTAGCAAAAAGATACCTGTCCCACATTTTGAGGTAGGATTTGGTAAAAGATGCCCATTGTGAGCAAAAAAGATGAGCCAAAAGGAACTCTTTACAAAGGCTCTCTGAAAAAAACGTGGAGGTGCTCTTTCATTGCCTGTAATTAAGTAGACTCCATAATATATTTGTTGGAAATAACTGAAAATTCAAAGTAGTTTTGCAAACAAGTAGTAACTGAACCAACTAACAGAAACTAAAGCTACACTCAGTGTATACCGTACTCACACTCAAAGGGAAGAGGCCATGTTAAGATTGAACACTACTAATAGTAGGATTTTGTGGGGGTTTTATTTTTTGTTAGTAGCATTGATGTTATTTTTCCCTTACAGCAGCTCTTTGGAGCCTGAAGGAGCTGAATGAGGTTCAAACTCATTTTTGTTAAGAATTATGTAATCAGCCTTCTGCATGAATGTATACTGTATTCTAAAGCAAAATCTTGTTGCTTATCTTACGGTCTCTTTCATGAATGGAATTAAATTGGGAAGAGACTCTTATGAATGTTGAATTGATTGTAAGATATATTTGAAACAGCTTTACTTTATAACCCTTGGTAGAACTTTCAAGTTTTATATAACTAACAAGTTTTAAATATAAGGGATTAAAATGGAATGCATGACATATATTTAAAGAAAGTTTCTTTTTCCTTGTGGTACCTTTTATAACCTATGCACTCAATTTCCTTTTAAGTAAACTTTGAGCTAGTAAATAGGAAAGTTGTAAAAACTGTGCCTCACAAGGAGGCAGGAATATAACTTAAGTAGTCATGTTAAGTTCCAGGGCTGGATGCAGGAAACAGATCAGATAAAACATCTTCTACAATCCTTTCTGATTACTATGGCTTTCTCTTTTCTGGTTCATGTGACTTCCAGGTACTCAGCTTCATAAACGATGGTTGCTTAGGTCACCTGCTAAAGAGACTAAAGCTGAGGTTGTAATCTATAATATGTGTAGATAGAGATTCAAACTTTTGGAAAGTATGCCTTAAAGATAAATTTTGATTCTGGTCATTTAGAAGTTTGTTAATTTTACTATATTTAATCTCTTCATTGTTTCAGTGGAGAAAATTAAGTGCAAAATATAACATTGAAACTACGATAAATGATCAAAAGCTGTGGTAAATGTATACTTTTTAAAAAAATGTATTACAGTAAAAGACACATTGCAATTAATTTCTGTTCCCCTTTGCTTTAGACACACTTGTCCCATCATTCTTGGCATTTTTGGAAGCAGTTCTGAAAGTCCTGTTTTGTTGGTAACATTATTTGTGCTGTCTTTGCCACTTGATCCTGAATCAATTGAAAACATTCAGCTTTTATGGTAATTTTGACTTTGGGGAAGAGCTAGAACTCACAGGGTACAAGATCTGGTAAATAAGTTGAATTATGACCCACCATAATGATTTTACAAGTATGCCTTTCAATGGATGGCACATGGCACCAACATTTACTGTGTTTTTCATCATACTTCATAAAGACACAAAAGAAGACTCGTAGAACTACTTCAGAAAGTGAAAAGAACAATGTGGTATGTGAGTTTGAAATAACAGGGAGTATTTTAAGGGGGTTAATGGCAACATGTCTTTTGCTTTAATAAATTTTTAAAATTTTACTTTCACTGTATATTTTGATCAAACCTCACTTCCTAATTTTCCTTTCATTTTAGTCACTGGTTAATTACTGGCATGAAGACTATGTGTGGTTGGCACACAGAAAAATTTTTCTTGCGCACAACCTGTTTTTCTCTGCTACTAGTCTGATTTTAGATTAACTTTAACAACAAAATTTAAATTTAATACTGACCAAAACAAAAAAGGTCCGAGGAGAGTAAAAAAAATATTTTAGGCATGTCTGTTACATTATTCTTTCAGGGAGAGTATCAGGCACTTGACAATAAATCCTAGAATCAGGAATTATAACATGTACAATGAATCCATTTGAGGCTTCACTGCTTATTTGTATAAAAATATTTTAGTTAAAAATTTTAGTCATTTTTTCCACAAAAGTTTCATCAAGGTGTTTTATTTCCAATGGTTAGTTTATCTTTTTCAAAACAAAATATCCATATCATCAGAAATGTTGCCAATTTTATATAAGGTGGAACATAGTTTTTCTCAGTATTGCTAATTGTCCAGCTGTTTCCTATCCGCATTATGTTGTGTCAGTGTTATGCTGTCAGTCTGGGGTGATTTTGCTCATCAGGGGACATTGACAATATCTAAAGATACAAGGATTCATATACTGGAGAACTGCTACTGGCATCTCATGTACAGTCCAAGGATTCTGCTCAATATTCTGTAATGCACAGAGCCACCCCCAGACAAAAATCTTATCTTCCCCAAAAGATTAATTGCCTCAATTAAGAAAGCCTGATATATGTAACTTTATACTTTAAAATAGAGGGGACTAAATTATTACCTACATATTCAGTATCCACATTGATACTGCCGTAAGTCTATCTGTTAGCTTATGAAAATATGTGAAATGAATTGATAAATGAAGGAGTTGTTCCTGAGAGGTTATTCAGTTATAGTGGTCAGTTTGATTTTGCATCTTATATTACAGAAATGGCTTCTCTTTGTGATTGAGCTCATATATTCTTTCTTTTTTAAAGTGTTTAAATATAGATCCAATCTTATGGGTAAGAAAATTATTATTTTATCAGTTGAAGGACTAGTGCTCATCATAACTGTCATCTTTGGAGTCCTTTTTTTCACCCCAGGTAAGATGTACAGTTACTATGAGGGAATGCAAAGTTGATGTAAGGAGGGCATTTGAGGGCAGGCTTGTGAGGGGAGGTTAGTAGTTTCCTAGAGCTGTTTGTAATGAATTACAGGTATGGAAAATGGAAAGACTACAAACAACAGAAATTTTTTCCCATCTCTGGAGGCCACTGATATGAAATCAGGGTGTTATCAGGGCCAACTCACTCTCAGAGCTGCTGTGGAGGATCCATTCTTTGCCTCTTCTAGCTTCTGATATTTGCCAACAACCCATAGCATTCCTTGGCTTCTGACAGCATAGCTCCAGTTTCTGCCCCCATGGTCACATTGCCACATTCTCACCTCTGTGTCTCTTCCTGTGTGTGTCTGTGTCAAATCTCCCTCTGGCTGTCTCTTACAAGGATACTGTGTCATTGGAATGAGGGCCTACCCATAAAGTCTGGGATAAACTCCTCCTTAGAAATCCTTAATTACATTTTTTGCCATGTAATGTAACTCATTCTTTTGTTTTTTAAAGTAATATTCATAGGTTCTATGGTCTGGGAGATGGGAATATTGTTAGGGCCACCATTAAGCCCAGTATAGAGGCAAACTTCATTGGCCAAGATGTGAAAGTAGCAGTTACATCTGGGGGATGGAAGTGTGAGTAGGAAATAACTACAGGGAATACATGGAGAAGAATCACAAAGACAGGCTAGGACTCAAAGGGATGGATTTAAGAACTATCTCTGGTTTCTTCAGGAGACTGTAGTGTAGGTATGATATTCAGGACATAAATTTGACAGCTGTGATCGTACCTGGAGCTGGTAAGCACATAGGGGTAGAGGAATGCAGAACACAACTTGAAAGTACAATTGATTTGGTTTTGGGACAGATTGAGTGAACATATCATATGAAGAGTATGTAAATGACAATTACCAAGTTTCTAATGTGGAATTCTGGAACTAGAGCCAATTCAAGGACTCCATGATGAGTCTTAAGTGTTGAGGTTTAGATTCTTAAGTTTGGTCTTTAATAATTAAAAACTTTACTTATTTTGTGGAAATTATGGGGAGAAATATTATTAAATCTTTCACAGTTTATAAGAGAAATATTGAAACGAATGTACTTAGTAAGTTAAATACTGAAACTTCCCAAAGAGTAGAAATGTGTAGGAAATATTTTAAATATGTTTCATTATTAATAGGTAAATATTCAAAAAGGAGAGTTTGTGGACTTCATTTCCTTGTAAGCCCTTCAGTGATTTTAGTACTGCTTCAATTCTATAGGTTTACTCCAGGTGAGTATCTGATGTTTCAGTATGATCTTACCTACCTTTTCATTTTAAAAACAACAGTTTTAGTGAAAATATTTTCGTATTTTTTACAACTCAATAAATGTTCATTTATTATTAAAAGATTTCCATGCTATTCTTAGTGACATATTCCCATGCAGATGAATTTTAAAGTTATCTTAGGTCTTCAGAACAGTAAGCCATTTTGCAAAAAGTGATTTTCGTATATACAGGTTGTGTATCCCTTCTCTGACATACTTGGGACAAAAGTGCTTCACATTTTGGTGTTTTTCAGATTTTGAAATATTTACAGAGACTTTACCGGTTAAGCTTCCCTAATTTGAGGATCCAAAATCCAGTATGTTCCAAAATCTAAATTTTTTGAGTATCAGATTTCAGATTTTCAGATTAGAGATGCTCAACCTGTACTTGATGTCAGTATAATTTTAAATTATGCCATATATCTTAAGGATTACCTTCACATTTTGAGTTCAGTTTTTTTGTGGGGGGGGTCTTTTGGTACTTGTGAACACACACTTTCTCTTTGTTAAGTGTCTGCATGGGAAATGAGTTCTACAAGAAGTTGTAAATCACAAATAGTGGAAACATGCTTTATACAGTTATTGGCAAAACTTGACACTAGAGTTTTACAAGCTAGTAGGGCAATCCTAACTATAATCACTATCATTTTCTCCTCATTTTGACACTAAATCACTAACATATTTTTGTTGTTATTATTTAAAAGTCCCGTGTAACACTGGGTCTAAGAACTATACATTGAAAAGGTATTTAATATAAATAACTGATGATCTAAATGCACAACATAGGAATCATGATGACTATAATCACCTTTACATGATGATTTTTCTGTACTAGAGCAGTTTTCTGTGGCTATAGAGAAGCCATACATAATAGCCATTCATACTGTAAAATGCACAAGTGTGGTCAGGCACTATTGCTCTTAAGATTTTGGATAAAAAGTGCCATTTCTGCTCAGATTACTGACAATAATAAAAGGCTGCTGAATGTGTGAATCTGAAGCTGACACTTGGGTGGAAAGGTTAGATCACTGGAAAGGCATCTGCTATCTGACAAGGAACTGCGGAGTCTGTCTGTGGTCATGAGATTTTTACCCTTAACTGCACCAAATGTGTGTAGGAATGATTGCTTTATCATTACTCTTCACACACTTCTGTCATGTCCTTTGCCTTTCCCCAGGTATTGGGATCACTACATATGTCATTGGCATATTATCAAGCATTCAGTTGGTGGGCTATATAATCGCTATAATTGGACTGTATCTTTGTATCTCTGGTAAGAGTAACATTTTTCTGTAGTTCTAATTTGTATTTCTCTTGGACAGAACTTTTTCTTTCTTCCTTTAGAAAATATAAACTTTATTTTTTAGAGCAGTTTTAGATTCACAGTAAAATTAAATTAAAAGTACTAAGTACCCATATGCTCCCCACCCATCCATCTACTCCACGAGGCTACAGTTTTCCTCAACATCCCCCACCAAAGTGGCATATTCATTAAAATAGACACATCATTGTCACCCAGAGTCTATTTACATTAGGGCTCACTCTGGGTATTGTATGTCCTAGCGGTCTTGCCAAGTGTGTAATGACATATACCCACCATTATAGCATCATACAGAATAATTCATCTCTTCTTTCCTCCATTATCTCCTCATTTTATTATCTCTTCCTTATTACAATTGGAATGTCTTAGAGTTAAGTCATACAGTATGAGGCATTATTATATGGGCTTCTTTCATTTAGAAACAGCATTTTCATTTTCCCTGTGTCTTTTCCCAGCTTAAGAGTTCACTGCTGTGTAGTGTTGCATTGTATTCTATTGTGTGGATGTACCTCAGGTTGTTTATGCCTTCACTATTGAGATACGTGTTGGTTGCTCTCAATTTTTTGAAACTTTAAAAAGCAAGCTCCTATAAACATGTATGTTCATGTTTTTGTGTGGACATAAATTTTCAGCTTCATTTGGATGAATACTGAAATGTGCAGTTTCTGGATTGTATGTAAAAGTTATGTTTAGTTTTATAGTAAACGCCTCGATACTCTCTGTATCAGAATGGCCACACCAGTTTCATACTGCCAACAATGAATGACAAATCCTGGTTATCCATTAACTTCCCAGCATTTAGTGTGGTGAGCTTTTCCTTTTGCATTCGCACCTTACCCCCAAGTAGGAATAATGCTTTCCACATTAGTTTAAGGATAGTGCCTGTTTATGGCTTGTGAGCTAATTTTTCTGGTTGCAAAATTGTATAGCTATATTTATAGAAGAATTTTTAAAATAACCAGTCACCAATTCACTGGAGTCTTGATATGATTAGGTATGTTATGCAAAGAAGAGATTCTTTTTTTCCCATTAAGTTTATTGATACATTTTAGATATAAAGTACAGTTACATTCATCATTGGGATCTTGTACCTTTACATGATGTATCTTGGTTCTTATTTTTTTCCCCTTCCCCTGCCCTCCCTTAACCCCCTCCACCCCTCTCTATTTGCAAAGAATTTGTTTCCATTTTTTTCCTTTTCTCATAAGAAGAGATTCTTTTCTTACAATAAATTCCATTGAGTTATTAGTAATGAACAGATGTAGGTGATTTCTGCTTATCATTGGAACAAGAATTACTCCCCTTAAAACTTGATGTTATTATAATTGTTGTTTATTCATTTAAAAAGTTATTTTGTAGGCATTTCTAATGTAAGATTTCATTTGTTTTTACAGTGTGTATAGCAGTGCATGGCTATCTTTTAATTTCAGGTTTGATTATCATTGCTCTAGTAGAATTACTTGGACTAGTTTACATGATATTTATGGGTAAGTCAATCATCATTCCTTGGAGAGTGGCTTTGTTATACCAGTCTCTGTACCTTTCTTTTTTCTGATACTTAGGGGGTGACATTTCAGTACATGCGTACAAAGTGTAATGACCAGAATGTGACATTTCAACACATGTATACAAAGTGTAATGATCAGATATGAGCTGATTGGCATGTCTATTACCTCTGACATTTGTAATTTCTTTGTGCTACTAACATTTCTTTGTGTTATCAACTAGTTATCTTTCTATGCTAATGCTAAACTTAAGAAGTTTCCTCTACAGCTGCATCCCTGTACCTGTTAACCATCTTCTTTATCCACATTCTCCCCTTCCTGCCACACTTCCTAGGCTCTGGTAATCACTCTTCTGTTGTCTACTTACATGAAATCCTCTTATTAGCTTCCACATATAAATAAGTACATCCTGTACTTGTCTCTCTGTGCCTGATTTATTTCACATAACAAAATGTCCTTCAGTTCAATCTATGTTTCTGCAGTTGACAAAATTTTATTCTTTATTATGACTGAAAAATAATCACATTGTGTACATATGTCACATTATTTTCATCTATTTATCTATCAGTGAACCCCAAGGCTGATTCCATATCTTAGATATCTTAATGTTGCAATAAACATGTGAGTGAAGATATATCTTCAACATACTGATTTCTCTTGCTTTGAATGCATGCCTACTAGTAGGATAGACGGATAATATGGATTTTTCACATATATATATCTGCTTTTATGCCATTGAGATACTCTAGCTTTTCTTTATGATCAAGATTGCTTTTGCTACTCAAGGTCTTTAGTGGTTCAGTGCCAATTTTAGTAATAATTTTTCTATTTCTATGAAGAACATTTTTGGTATTTTGATAGGGACTTCATTGAATTTGTAGATCATTTTATGTAGTATTTATACATTTACAGAATTGATTTTTTTTCAATCCATGAACATGAGATGCCTTTCTGTGTGTGTGTGCATGTGCGTGTGTGTGTGTGTGTGCACTCGCATGCTTCACTTTCTTTGTGCTGTAATTTTCCTTGTAGAGGCATTCACTTTCTAGTTTAAATTTATTCCTACGTATTAAATTTATCCCTACGTATTATATTTCGGTAGCAACTATGACATTGCATTTTTTATTTCTTTCTCAGCAATTTTGCTATTGACGTATAAAACAGCTACTGATATTTGTGGATTTTATATCCTGAAATTATGTATTAGTTCTAACTTTATATGTAAAGTCATATCATTTGCAATTATGGAATTGATCTAGTAAAGAGATAATGAACTGATGATGTAACGAGAAATAATTGCAGAGACACATTTCTTGAATGCAAAAAGATGTGGGATTCTGGACACATTAAAAATAAGAGCAGAAGAGGCAACAGAAAGAGTTCACACATCTGTTAATGGCTTGGTAGAAGTGGTGGTTAGAGAATGAAGCAGTTATCAAGAACTGGTGAAAAATAATTAATGAAGCAAGAACATCAGCTGAAAGGGAGATTGGAAGGGAGGATGCTGGAAATTTTAAGAGAATGTAGAATATACCAGATTAATTATATGGAGTGGGAGGGTCAGCTTGTAACAGTTTGTCTCACACTGGGGCAGTGGACATGGGTAGTCCTAAATTTATACTAACTTTAGTGGATCTGAGTTAATTTTGCCTTGAAAAGGACCTAATTTTAAGGTGTTTTCTGTGGCCTATAAGGGAAAAAAAGTTTTATACATTTACATATTTTCACAGTAGAAAAATGAGTTTAACAATTACCTGTAATCTTGCTATTCCAGGATAATCATTGTGATATATATCTTTATATATTACACATTCATATACATCTGTAGGAAAATATGAAGGACTTTTTTGATAAATAATGCTATTGTACAACAGTTTTCACTTTACTAAATATTTTAGGTATTCTGAGAGAGATGGACAGTATTACAGTGATAAGTTTTTTTCCTATTAGATTTTAATATTTGTTTGTTTTAAAACATACATACATACATGTGACTTAATGGAAAATATATAATTATGTTGAAAAGACCCTCTTCCAAAGTAGTATATTGTTATTCTCTTTTTATATTTAACATGTAAAAGTGAAACTCTACATTATTAATCTACTAGGTTCTATTTGAATAAAATATGATGAAGGAATGTAATTTTGCTTTTTAAGATAGCTTTAATCATTCTAAAATCTCATTTCACAATGAATTTATAAATTTTCTTTCAGTAGTAGAACTTTCAAATTTATTTCTTTAAATCCTTCTTTTAAAAGCTTTAAAAAATCATGTTATTTTTAAAGAGTAAAAATTCTATAATCTCATCATAGAGAAAATTGGAGATATTTTACTCAGTTGGAACTATATTGTATATCACACATTTTGCCATTTATATTTTCTTACTTTTTTGAGTCTTTGAAAAGCACTTTGTAAACTATGATTTTAATGGCTGACTTTAATGGTTTGTGCTATTGTTGGGCACAGAAATATATTTCTAGGCTTTATTATGGTTTTTTTCTTTTTTAAATTAATTTTATTGGTACATTTTAGGTATATAATGTAATGACATTCATCATTGGAAATTTGCACCTTTACATAATCTCTCTTGGTTCTTGTTTTTTCCCCATTTCCCTGCCCTCCCTTCAACCCCTCCATCCTTCCCTATTTACAAAGACTTTGTTTCCATTTTTTCATTTTCTCATATTAATTCCATTCCCTTCTTTTCTTTCCTTTACCCCTCCCACTTTCCAATGAGTATTGGTTATAAATAACATCACAGGTAATGTCATTGGCACTTGAATTGATTTTTAGTGTATTTTACTACAAAAGCAATGTATCCAATGTGTCCTTTGTAAGAAAGCCTTATAAATAATATCTATATAGTTGACTATGTATATTGAATATACTATATATAGTATATATTGAATATACTATATATAGCTGAATCAGTGTCAAATGATTATTCATTCCATACCTGTTTTGAATCTGTCAAACTTTTATTCATTCAGTAGCTGTTTTCTACACCTATCAATGGCAGGCTGTGATCCAGATGTGAAACTTGATCTTTAGAGCTAACGTCCTAGTGTCTGTTTAGTGATGGATCCTGCTAATGTCCTATGCACAGAAGTGAATGAAGTTTTAAAATAAGGACCATGTTATTTAAAAATGGTATTATAATCTGATTTTTACCCTATAACATATTAAGAATTTCCATGTTATTGAACTTTGACAATATCATGTTTAATAGCTACAGAAGAATTATTTGTATAAATGTACAGTAGTTTAATCTGGAGTCACACAGTATAATTATTTTCCAATTCCTTTTTTGCATTTAAAATCTATAACATGAATTCTTTTCTTCTCTTTGACAGTTACACAAATACAGCCTCCATAAGACCTGAAGGCACAAGCAGTGCTGTCTTTCTTCCTCATTTCCACTGTCTCTCAGTGGATTGTAAGGTGACATCTTTTACAATACAAATTTCAGCTATTTGTATCATTAGATAAGAACATGAGCACAAAAGTAGATACAGATTGTGCATCCCTAATCCAAAATCCAAAACATTTTGAGCCCTGACATGAAGCTACAATTAGAAAATTCCACACCGGAACTCATGTGACAAGTTGCAGTCATTACACAGGTACAGTAAAATGCTATAAAAATTACTTCAGACTATGTCTATAAGATGTTTCTGAAACACAAATGAATTTCATGTTTAGACTTCAACTCCATCCCCAAGTTATCTCATTATCATATACAAATACTCAACTCTTCAGCTCAGATAAGGAATACTCAATCTGTATTTCTCCATAGTTACAGCACTGTGAACTTTCCTAAATGATCAGGAAACAGGCTGGAATTCTGCATGATGATTAAAAATCATACTTTTTTCCCCATTCTTAGTAAGGCTCTTTCTAATCTGTTATCTGCAGCCAGAAACAAAATCACTAGAAAGGGAAGCTCGATGTTTTAAAGGGTCAAGTGTGTGGTTAACAAGGGACAGAAGGCATTATCAGCATTTTAAGTCCTATGACATACTTAATTATCCAATGGTAACTGGACGAATTACAGAAATTGACAGATCACTTTTTCACACCTTTTAATGTCTTTCAGTATAATACAGTGTCTCTCTATCTCTCTGAGGGAGAGAGGTGGAACAAGGCAAAATGGAAAGAGCCCCCCGGGGAGTGGGGAATACAATAGTCACACCATTTCCTACTGTCACAGGCTAGAATGGAAGAGACACAAGACTATTGATCAACTGGGCAGTAAACCAATATTTCTTTGCTTTGAACTGTTGCCAGTTTTCAAGGTTGAAAAATAAATAAATATTCCATCAAAATGGAAGAAAGTCCAACAGAGCTTCATGACTTTTTCTACCAATAGTCCTTGATGATATATTGTTAATGATCAGGCTGCTGAGCTAGAAAGTTTCTCAGACACATTCAGGAGCATGCTTTACTAATCTACTCAGCATTTCTTATTCCAATGATATATTAAGACTAATGGTCACTTTCAGTACCCAGTATTATTATTAAAATTCTCTGCCAATATGATGAATTAAAAATATTGAATTATTTATTTAAATTGAATTTTTCTGTGGTAAAATAAGATTATTTGCTTTCCCCTTCTCTGTATTAACTGTATAATATATAATTTGATATATAATACTCCATGTCTATATAACTATGTAGTCATATCTATATTTATAACTACAGTGGTACCTTGGTTCACAAACTCAGTTTTCTCCATGATTCTGGTCAGAAACAAAACTGGATGAGAACCGAATCAAATTTCCCCATAAGGTCAACATTGAACTTAACTGTTGAATTTGATCCAGTTCTCGTCCAACTCAATTTGCAACCAAGAAAGAATCAAGTTCGTGAACTGAGGTACCACTGTATAAATATATATAGTTAATAGATCAACTGTTTTAATATATTAACCATTGCCAGTTCTCAGAATTATAATAAATCAAATAGGTATTCAATTCAAATTGAAGAATCTCAAACACAGGGCTTCATGGCTTATTTCTGATAATCAGACTACCAAGAGTTCTTGATGAGGTGGTTTGTTGACATTAGGCTGCAGATCAGTAACACAGTATATCGTATGTTACACAAATATATGATAGAGTTAATATGTAGTATAATACATATAAACACACACATTGGTATTTCTGTGTACTTTCACGAAACACTTGTTCTTTCACTCTCTGCCTTATGTATCTGCTTTATACCATGTGTTAGTTACTTTTCTCTTGTTGCTGAGATAAAATACCACAGTTGAAGGGGAAAGGGTTTATTTGGCTAACAGTTCATAGAGGTTTCAACCCATAATGGGCTGACTCCAAGGCTGGGTGGCTTGGCAGAGGAGAAACAGTTTATGGTGGCTAGAAGTAGCAAAGCAACAAGGGACCTTATCAGCATTTCTGCCCCTTTTATCTTATTCAGATTACTTAGGGCCGGTAGCACTCACACCCTTAATCCTAGTGCCCTCAGGCCTACCCCCACCATGAATCAATCACACATTCTAGATTCAATCACCTCTGAAAACTCATGAGGCTTTGGGGGACATCTAAACACAAGCTATAACACACCATGACTCAGAAATCTAAGAATTATTTGTAACCCAAGAGTCAAACTTGCTAACTCTGTATCTAAGAAGTTGAGTACTAAATTAGCTCTAGTTTTTAGACTTTTTACCATTTTTCTTGTTCAGTGAGGCCATTACATTTGTCTGCTAAATTTCTAGAGAATAGAGATTGCATTTGCTGTATACTCGTGTTGCTCTTTTTTATTATTTTTGTATAATGACACTGTATCTTGAGGTTCTATGGAGTTTTTGCTCTAGTTTTCCTTTCACTAGCTGCTGAGTTTTATGAGCTTTTCAGCTCATAAATACTAAGAAGTATTCTGCCCAGATGGCCTAGAAGGAGATAATGGTGACAGATGTCCCTGTGCCCTTCTTTCTTTCTCTGCAAAGCCTACCTTAATCCTGTGATGAAGTACAAGAAGCAAAACACAAACAGTTTCCTGGTATGCAGTCTGCTAAGTTTTTATCCTTGTCCACATGTCACCTGGAAAATGGACACTGTATCTGAGTCTCCACAGGAGGACACTGAGTTGACTGTGACTCAGAGATTGGGAAACAGAGGCAGAGACAGAAGTGGCAAACACTAGGGTTGGTGAGAGATGGTCAAAAAGATCTTGGCTTGGTCTCCCCTCCCAAACCCTCCCCCAGGACCAAGCACAGCAGCAACTGCAAGCTTGAGAGAAATGCAGAGAATGAAGGCAACTGGAGTAGGGAAAAGTTGCCATATCAGTGCAGGGATGTCCCATTCATGACCCTTGGATCTCTTGCAGGGCAGAGGGAGCTTGAGGAAATTGCTTCGGAACCAGCAGAACTCCAACATAGCTGGGAACCAAATGTACCAGTGACTTGAAAGAAGGAATCGGTGGAGCCTGTCACAGAGACTGTGGCAGGTGCACAGACTGAGGCCCTGGACAGAGACCAGCCAGAGTTCAGAGTCTGCTGTAGCAGCTGTAGTAGGACATGGACTGGGACCATGAGGCTGTAACACTAAAGAGAGTGGCTCCAAACCCACTCCATGGTCCCCAAGAACACAAGAGGCCCCTGCGTATGGGGATCTAAAGACAGCAGCCTTGATGGTTGGCTGAGGGGGATTCATTATAACCAACAACAGGAAAAGCTTCCTTTTTAATTCTTTTAAAAATAGATGATAGATTAGATTCTCTCATTTTTTCCTTGTTCTGTTTGTCCATTATTATTTTGTTGACTATAATTAGATGTGGTCTTTTATATATGCATACCAATATATAGCAATTTGTATTAGTTTTCTGATTTAATAACGTAGCACACTTGAGTTTTTCAGTCATAGATTCCCATACAAAAGGATGCTTTTAAGGATATTTAACTTTTTGAACAGTCTTCTCAACAATTTCACACAATGCTTTTCTTTTTCTCACTGCCTGGCTACACTCCCTTCCTTCCCCTCCTTTCTCTACATCTCCTCACATACCTTCTTTTTTCTTTCTACCACCCCCTCCCTTTTTATTTTTTATTTCTCTATTTCTTTTTCATTCTATATCTTCTTTGCTCCTCTCAATATAAACTATTAGTATTAATCTGAATATCATTAATGTTTAATTTTCTCTAACCTACTTTTAAAAAAAAATTCTTTTATTGGTACATTGTAGGTATACAACACAATTACATTTCTCATTGGGAACTTGTACCTTTACATGATGCATCTTG